ATGTATGTATGTATGCATGTGAGATATATGCTGGCTACTTGGTTACACTTGCTGAGCCTATTCCAAGATCCTGGACGAAAAAAAACCAGGGGCAACCAACGACCGTTTTCTGTAAAATATCTGTTCGGAGAAGCAAAAATTGCCTAGAATTTTCTACACATTAAGGAGGGCTAAGAATTTCTAGACGACCGTTCCTGATTCACCTATTATTTTCCGAGGCTTATCTATATAAATTCCCTGCGATTTTCTGAAGTTTAATTTTTTGCATTTCACTCACCCAGATTAAACTATTTTTCGCAGAAAACTGGAAACTTAACATTTTCGGATTCAAAAATGCGATGGAAAGAGGAATCAGAAAAATTCTCACTTTCCGAGGTAAAACTTTAAATAAAATAATACTGAATCCCTGGTAATTTCCAAGAGACACAAGTTGTCTTACGATGACTGAACAGATATAAATTATAGAGCGCCGCTAGAATGTATTTCTAAAGATCTAAAAGTACTCTGGATTTTCTAAAAAGTGTTTTCGACGCATTTAGGAAAAAATCGTCGTTGGGTGCCCATGAAAAACATTCTGCGGTTATGTTGATCCAATTGTTGGCCCCACCAAATATATACAAACAATACCATGGTTCTGAGGAGTGACAGGGAAATTTGACTGCCTTTTATAAGAAATGTCTTTTATACTAAAACTAGCAGTTTGTTGCAATTTGCTTGTCGTAAATAAACTTCGATTTTTGAGCCAAAATTTTCTTGTTAGAAAACTCTGAGTTCACGAAACGGCTTCTTCTACGCGAATACACCGTGGTTGTAAACAATCCATTGAGCACCAAACTCAGCTACAGTAAATTGATAAACGCCGTATTGAATCCTTCCAAGTCTTTTCTTGCCTTTAAAAAAAAGGGAAAAACACCGAGCTCACTCATTATCCACTCGCTAGGAGGTGAATATTGTTGAATAGTCCGAGATAGCGAACCAATCAGATTGCTTGAATCACCAAGATCACTGAGTGTGTATATGCTAATTACTTATAATATAAGTAATTATACTGTAATGATAACAATATTTTTGGGGAGGAAGCTGGGCATTTTGTGGGGAAGCTTCTACCCCTCAAATACCCTAGATAGAACCCTGGCCATGCTAAGCAGGCTAACATCACTATATCCCACCTGTAATAAGGCTCTATTTGATAGTTTCAAACAACGTTTTGGCCCCTTGTCTTCGGTTTATTATGTTTTGTGCGTATCTTCAATATCATTAGAACAGGTGTTGTGTACATTGATATGTAAAGGAAAGTCGATTTCAAAGAATCCTCCTTCGACAACAGCTATTGCTGTCAGTAAAGTCAATTCTCTCATAGTGACCACATCTCGTAAGCGACCACTTTAAAAAAAAAAAAACGTTTTGTTTCTCAGTCAATACTGTTTTTTCAAACTCTCTTATAAGTGACCCCCACTGAAAAATTTCTTAAATAACCGCCATCACTTTTTAAACCAGAAATTCGACATATTCTTTTGCCTTATTATTTTTTTCCCCGTAAGCGACCACCCGTCATGATAACTTACGATTGTACAGGAAAAGCACTGCTCAAATGTCACAAAAGTTCAGTGCTGACCAAGCGTGCTGAAAGTTGACTTACATAGATTGTAATATTACATTGATGCAAAATGTTATTTACAGTTTCAGTCGTTCAAAGTGTTATATGATTTGAAACTATTATTACCAGGAATCTGTTTGCCTAAGTTTTAGCTTATTAGGTAATAACTTTATGTAATCACGTTAATCAGTTAAGTTGGAGTGTTTTCTATTGATATTGATTTTCTCACAGACGACCACGTCCCTAAGCGACCACTTTGTCGGGCATCAAGGGTAGTCACTTACGAGAGAGTTGCCTGTATACGAGAAGATCGGTTGCGCGTACCGATTGTACCAAGTGTACCGGCTGCACCGCAAGTATAGAGTGTAAGGCTGAACCGAGTGTACCGGCTGTACCAAGCGTACCCAGTGTACCGAGCGTACTGATCTGCCCGCTGAGTCCCTAACTGACTTGACTGTAAATGTTTTGGATTCCTTTCTGCTTGAGAAAACAATTGGCACACTGCACGTTATAGAACTTTCCAGATTTACTGCGGTTCAGCTCTGTGATGGACAGCAGCTCAAATGTTTAACATGCGTTTGAAGAGAGACTATAGATTTCGTCCCATGGGAAATCAGGTTGAATGACGTCTAAGTCAGTCCACAGTAATAATGTCATCACTCAGCTGGTTTTAAGGATTAAAGACCATAAAATACTGAACCAAACAACAGGATTTCTATATTTTGCATTTGCGTTTAATTACAGTCTGCTAGAGTCAACTTTTAAAATAAATAAGCTTCCCATATATTAAGGTTTTCTCCGACAAGCAGCCATACCATGCACAACTCACTGTCATAATGTTCCATTTTATCCTGGACTTAGTGATGTTTAGTGTTCTTTCGTTTATCTTTTCAGATCCTCAACCTCGTAAAATTCACCATAACAGAAACAGACGCCAGCTTAACTCAGTTAACGCCACTCTCAAAGGCAACAAACTACTATCAAAGTTAAGACCACGCATCTGCCAATCAAAAGGTCTTAGGTGTTTGCCTGGTCCCCCAGGCCCTCCAGGTTCACCTGGACCTAGAGGAGAGAAAGGAACCCCGGGACGAAGAGGACACAGAGGGAAACAAGGAAACAAAGGAGATCAAGGAATTATGGGATCACCAGGAAAAAGTGGCAAGCAAGGCATTATGGGACCTGTTGGGCCGGCTGGCGAAGCTGGTCCTAACGGACAAAAAGGAGACATGGGGCCCGCGGGCTTGCCGGGGTCTAAAGGAGAGCCTGGTGAATCAATCTCAGTTCCTACTGTTGCTGTTTCGCCTGCAAGATTGACTGCAAACGAGACCAGATCAGCCTCGTTTCAGTGTTCTGTCAATGGTAATCCTAAACCTACAGTAGTGTGGAGTAAACTTAACAGTCAAACAAAAATTATCCAATCAGCGGTTTTAGGAGACACTTTGTTCTTACAGAACTTGAAAGGAAGTGATGCGGGTGTGTATAAATGTTCAGCGGTAAACATCTTGGGGCAGGCGCACGCAGTTGGTCACTTGAATAGTGAGGGGTTTTTTTTTGCATTTTTTATTGACTATTATCTTATCGCATGGATTTACTTTGCGTACCATACAAGATGAACGATGAGGAAAGGTATTACGTAGCAACCTTACAAAAAATCGCGGGAACGATATCAAGGTATTGTTGGTTTTCACATGACTTCACTAAAATTCAAACTTAAAAACTATCGATCCTACCAAAATTTTACTTTCACGATGCATTACAGCAGCTGAAAACTAACTTTCATACAAATTATCGCTTCAAAAGGGTTCTTGGTTTTGTGATAGAGTACGCTTAAATTTCTAAGCTTTAGCGTGACGCGGCATTTACATGACGGCAAAGAGAGCTGTCATGTAGATTAAAAAAATGACTTATTTCAGGAAATTTTGCTATCTAAACAGTTCATGTATTAGAAAAAGTATTACTTTAATGTTTGTGAGTTTCTCGAAGAATAAATTCCCGCCTTTGTAGCAAAACTCGGTAACAGATGTTTCTGTTGGTTTCCGTCCGCCATGTTGGAGCTCATCCAGGTGAGCACCAGCATAGCGTCTCCATACACATCTCTATAAGTTTGGGTAAAACATTTCCTCGGATATCTCGTATACCAAATAATCCTCTGACCTGAATCTTGGCGAGGGTCTTTGTATATGTAATTCCTTTCATTTCCCAGATTCTGGACTTTATCTATCGAACGGTTTTGATTTTTATTTGTGATCTATTTTGAATGGCGTGACACTGAAAACAAGCAATAGTCAACCGTATCTTGCAGAAATTATTTTTCATTCAACTAACGAAAAAAGTTCGGAATTAAATTTTGTTTTACAGACCCTCTAAATATAAGTACCGTAGGTCAATACTTTTTTTCAGCAAATTAAGTGTATCATGACAGTATAATTAATTCTCGCTTGTTGCATTACCTCAGGAGGAGCTTGTTCCTTTTTTCTAACATGCTCTGTAGTCGAAATTAACCCAACCTTAGAAAGTTCGTTTGCAAGTTCGTTTGGTCATTAAAAGCTCGCAGTTTATTAATGTTGTTGATTAGTTCGAAATCTTAAATCATATTGAAAGAAGATTTAAAAATATTTGCCCTTAGTAAGAGGTGGTTAAGTTCCTCTATCCCAAGTGATTTGTTTTACATTCCTGGTTCAGCATTGCCAAAATTTGATTTCGGACTTATCTTAGGACCTGTTTACATGGAGGTGGGGGACCCCAGACAGGTGAGGTAACATATGCATATAGTGGCATGCGTCACCCCACCTATTATGTAAACGTGATCAAATTAAAATGAGAGATTATATGGACAGGCGGGTTACCTCACCTACCTGGGGTCAGCCACCCCCATGTAAACAGGCCCTTAGGGTGAATAAAATTCTTACAGCACACCCACTTAGGCTTAGTTTGCTGAGAATTATTAAGTACAAAGTTGACAGGACTACTTTAAGAAAACTTTACAAATATTTGATGCCAAAACGCTCCGTTTCTTTGTCAACTTGCTGTTTGGTAGAACATTCTGCAACACAGTTTTTATCTTAGCTAATGCAAAAATTACTGACCATTGCTCTAGCTGCTGCAATTACTAGTCACGCAAAACCACTTAACGTCATTTACTTGGAGGTTATATTTTTATCCTGTTATATTTTTATCCTGTCGCGCATTTATAATGTATTCAGTGTAGAAACTGGGACCTACATTGAGGTTCAATCTAAAGGTTAGTTATGATCATGATTCCTAAGAATTAATTCAGAACAAAGATTTTTGATTTTACCCTCTCCACTATATAGTTTCTTTTTCGGTTGATGACTCGATGTATCTAGTACTTCTACGGATAGCTCAACTTAGGTAGTTCTCATGAAGAAAACGTTTTGCTTTTCGTGACAAATATAAAGCAAGATCCTTTGTTCATTGTGATAAACGATAGGCCAATACATTGCTTGTTCGTGTAAATTTTTCTTGTTTATTGTAGTTTTAAATTGAACCACTAATAGTTTTCAAGTAAATGGATTGAAGCAAATAAATAAATAAATGATTGTAAGTATCAAATTAAAGCAACCTCATTTTGTATTTCTACTACGGATCTTCACTTATGAAAGCAAAAAACTGAAATTCAACCGTGAAAAAGCCCTTAGGTTTGACTGCACAAAAAGGATTTCAGAGAAAACGGCCTTAGCAAACTTTTAGCCCCTGAGAAAGAGGAAGAAAAAACTATACAGGAGCTGGTATGGCCGAAGTGGAATTGTTCTGAGTATCTGCGTAGCAATGCAACATTGACTTTAAATTAATTTTGAATTATTGCAAGTCTCGCACATTTTCCCTTTTGTCTCTGCGTCATATAAATTTAAATGTCATCTAAATCTGACGAATAATTATTTTAATGGGCCCAAGTTCTCAGACTGAAAATAAAAGGCGAAGGCAACCTGGTACTTGCTGTTCCATCCGAAAAGGTTGTTATTCATTTACTAAGAATAAGGAGCGAACCCTAGAAGGCACAAAAAGGATCTACGCTACATAACGCATGCCTTGTTTTGTTGTTAGTTTTTGTTCTTTAGTTTGTTTATTTTTTCATGGCAAGAAAAAAGCTCGCACAAAAACGCTCGCTAAAAAGGCTGCAAGCTTCACTCTCTGGGACGACGCAACGTATATCTTTGCTTTAGTGCTGTTTACAGCACAGCGAATGTCCAGACAAGCCCTTTCTTCCTTGTTTTATCAGATTGCTCTGATCTGTTCAAGTCAGGCTATTCTCAGAGTGGAGTTTACTCTGTGGACCTGGACGGAAAAGGATCCTTCAATGTATACTGTGACATGCGCACTGATGGTGGAGGATGGACCGTGTTCCAGAGAAGACAAGATGGCTCGGAAGACTTCTATCGCGGCTGGAATGATTACAAATCAGGCTTTGGTCAGCTGACGGCTGAGTTCTGGTTAGGAAACGATAAGATCCACAGGATGACGGCGGCTAGACCCAGCTCCCTACGAGTGGAGCTGGAGGACTGGAACGGAGGAATAGCATATGCCAAATATGGCAAGTTTAACATTGGTGATGAGCAGGCGAAGTATAGACTTGAAGTGGGTTCATATTCAGGAACGGCGGGAGATTCCTTGTCATATCATAAAAAGATGGCGTTTACCACAAAAAACCGAGATAACGACATTAAAGACTTAAGTAACTGTGCTGTGGTATACACTGGTGCCTGGTGGTACAGGAGTTGCCACAATTCCAATTTAAATGGAAAATACCTGGGAAACAAACGCGATTACCGCGGGGTCGCGTGGAATCACTTCAGAGATCGTTTTTCACTTAAATTCAGTGAAATGAAACTGAAACCGTCATCTTAGAATGAAAATCAGTAACAGGACTAGTTCAACCTTTTAATTCAGTTCCTTTTTATTTCAAAAGCTGCATTTGTTCACAGCGCACTGTATCCTTACAACTAAGAAGAAAAGCAATTTTTTACCCGCCCCTTTTGATTAAAGTACAAACATCAACCACAAGGGACTGCAAAGGACCGCAAACGAATATGCCGAAGAACGTAGGATCTATAAAGACCTGATCAGCAAAAATAATAATGTAGACATATCTATGGCTCCAATCCCGCTCTGTTTTGGGTTCTTTCGGTGTCGTGTTGATGTCTTGCAGAGTTAATTTTTACGTAGTACGATCAGCATTGCAGTATTCCTTTTGATTAAGTATGTACTAAAAGAGAAATTGTCCAGAGGAATAGAGTGTATTCCCAACATATTTTGTGGACACAGAACCTTTGCATTTGCTTCGTAACGTAACTTGACAAAACAGAGCCTAAAGTAGAGCATTCGTCAGCCTCCACAAAAAAACTATATGTATCTCTGAAACCGGGGATTTTAATTTTTTTCATTGCAGTACGTACACTGTTTCGACTTGCCCACGCTCAAAACAGCTCGAGTTATCGAGGGTAATATAACGGAGAAATGATCTCAAGGGAAACAAAGAAAACTTTGAATTAGCGGGAGGTTTGAGTTTATACCGTACCGGTACCGAGGGTGTAATATCAAAGCACAAGCGTAGGCGTCAATGATGTTTATCTCAAAAAGGCTAGCAAGAGACTCTATTTCCTAGCTCAGTTAAAGAGAGCGGGAGTTCCGAAACAAGATCTAGCACTGTTCTACGTATCGTGCGTGAGATCTGTTATTGATTATGCAGCACCTGTCCTTTTCAACGGTCTCCCCCAATACTTAAAGAAAGAGCTGGTACGGCTCGAGAAAAGAGCAATATCAATAATAACCTCAGGAAAGTACAACTCGGCAACAGAGGTGGGGTTAACACTCATTTTGGAGCATTATTACATACTATGTAGCAGGCTTTTTGAAAACATTGTCAGTGATCCAAACCATAAATTGAAGGCGCTCCTTCCACCAGACTATGACAACTCACGCTATAAACCGTATTCACAAATGGCGGACACGCGGGAAAAAACTGCTGCCTAGTCATGAAAGTCAGGCGTTGGAGGATAAACAAAAATTGCAAATGAAGACTTTCAGTGAACTTGCAGAGTGTTTAGCACGGATTCCACCTAAAAAAACTTTCTACGGACTTCTTTTTAAATACAATTACGTGGGAAGTCCTCTGCTTTTAATGTTTAGTAGCGATTTGCTGTTTGCAATCAAAAGGGACGCGTATATCTTCAAGGAAAAAAAGGATGATTTTGTAGGTTTCCGAAGCATCAGAAGCTCGAAAAGTAGGCGATGGCTGGAGAAAAGCGGCAAACATGTTGGCCCAAAGTTCACATTGAAACCGAATACGAAAGCCAGATCACTACAATTCTGTATTGGATCAAATTAATTCCGTCGCTTTGGAAAGAATTGTTAGAGGTACGTTGGCAGAGCTTAGCAAAAATCTCATGCTTTCTTTGTCATTGCGAAATAATTAAAAATAATTTTATCAAAATTAGAAGCTGTACTGTGTGAATGCTATTTGCCTGGTCTCTTTTAGGGCATTATCTCAGAGAGCTCTTGGTAAAAAAGTGATATAAAGCTTACATTTTACTAGGTTAAACTTTTAAGGCAATGTTTTTGTCAGGATTGAATTACACGACAAGCTTCTGTTTCGAATAATTGAATTCGAGTCTGGATCAGTTTAAGAAGACCATCATTTTATTTATTTATGTATTCTTCAACTTTCAAATGTTATGGAACATAAAGTTAAAACTCTTAACTGCAAAGCAAAGCGCAAAGTGGGTCGGAGGAGCCAAAGGTAAGAAATACGAAATTACTCGCTGAAATGATATGTGGCCGGCTCACCGAGTCTAGCGAGTAACAAGTTGAAATTTTGAGCGTACTCCTCTCGATCGCTCCTGCATTTATACTAAAAAACTAGTTCTAATTGATGTCCTTCATTGATAAAGACCAGAAAATAACGTCCTGGCAAACAAAAACCAAACATAACTTCATCGAAACCTCAGTCACCTCTTCTTTCCTGTCTTCCTTTTTTCCATCTCGACTTGAACTGTTTTGTTCAACGGCAGACGTCTCTTGCGTTAACAGTGGCAAGTACGCCATATATCTGTCGCTTATTTCGTTTTTTCTTGCCACCAAGATTTGTTTATATTTCTGTTTCACCGAATTGCAGTGAGCTGGGTTTCGTACTCGGTTTCAATGTGAAGTTTGGGCCAACATGTTTGCCGCTTTTCTCCAGCCATCGTCCACTTGTCGAGATTCTGATGCTTCGAAAACCTACAAAATCATCCTGTTTCCTTGAAGATATACGCGTCCCTACTAAAAGCAGAAGACATCCCACGTAATTGTATGTAAAAGGAAGTCCGTAAAAAGTTATTTTAGGTGGAATCCGTGCTAAACACTCTGCAAGTTTACTGAAAGTCTTCATTTGCAATGTTTGTTTATCCTCCAACGCCTCGCTTTCATGACTAGGCAGCAGTTTTTTCCCGCGTGTCCGCCATTTGTGAATACGGTGTATAACCTAAGACGACCGCGCCTTTTTAATATGCCAAAGCTTTGCACGAACAGAACAAGGAATACTTTTATATATGCGATGTCGAAATAGTCAGGGCTGTAGTTTTATCCCCACTTATATTCATGCTTTATATTTTAACATATTTTAATATGAATATGTTGTATAGAATTTTTAATATTATCTTAAAAATTAGTTTTCGACTTTTTAAATATTGTCTAGGATTCATTTGTAATTTTCAAGTATTATAAAATTGTTGTAAATAATTGCGTAATTCACCCTTTGGCTGCGATGCAGCTTTAATAAACTATCTATCTATCTATCTATCTATCTATCTATCTATCTATCTATCTATCTATCTATCTATCTATCTATCTCAGTTTAATTTGATTGGAGGATTGAAGAAACTTCCTTTCTGCACTTTACTTTGAGATGATTCTTTAGAGGAATTTCGTGGTCTTCAGAAGATCACGAAAATCTTATACCCCGAAAATTAAGTGTCTCTCTTTTCTGAGTGCATTATTTAATTTGTTTTCCGAACGCTCACCGTCAAGTCTCTGTTTATCAAGGAAGGGTATCCATTTACAAGGAAAAAGAGAAAGCGGAAATCAAAGGCGTTGTTTCTAGCAAGGGTTTATTTTGTTCTTCAGTCCGCCTATGGAACGTAGGCGTCGACGTTTTATGTACTAAAGGACAGTTTACACGATCTCCATTCATCGCGCCATGTGCTAGCTTACGACCTGGGAACCGAAGTTCAGAGTACTGCTCCTTTACTTGGCCCAAGTTACCGTTTTGTTTTAGTTGTGCAATCTCTCAGCAGATGGACCTTAACAGTGATTACAAGCGTAAGGGATAAAAAATAATTGTTAAACTTTAGTCTGGTTTCTTTCTGTCTTTTGTTTGCTCCGAGTAAGAGATCCTTGTTTAGTATCTACAGTTGAACCTCTCTACCCCGGGGGGGGGGGACTCCACATATGAAGGTGGTGGGGATGCTTGTCGGAAATTTTGAATTAAACTCCTAAAGGAGACCGATCTGGGCGTGGCCCAAGCTTTTTTCACCCCTAAAAGAGACCATGTTAAAACGCAGACAATATAATATTTTTACATTTTTTCCCGTGCAACCCTAGACGAGACCTTCACGGCTAAATATGATAGCGTTTTGCCCAGAACACCCTAAGTGAGGCCAAAATCCGAAATTTACACCCCTAAGCGAGACGACGAGCATCCCTATCCCTTTCATATGCGGAGTTCCCCCCCCTCCCCCCCGTGCTCTCTACAACGGCCACCTTGGAGACAGAAGAAAATGGCCGTTGTAGAGAGGTTTTAGACAAGAGTCAATATATGGATTTTTTTGTCGGCCTGGACGAGAAAAAGTGGCAGTTGTAGAAAGGTGGCCGTTAGCGGAATTTCGACTGTATTGGAGGAAATCACGAAATATGACCATCGCTAAATCATAGCGAAATCAATTTTTTTTTCTCTCCTCTTAGATGTAAAGCCGTTAAGCAGCCGTCACTAAGAAATTTTGTCCCTTTATAAGAAACCTTGTCAACTACTAATATAAGATAATTACAACTACTTTAAAAAAATTATTGTGGCTCCGAGGTCAGGAAAAAACGTCCGTATTACTTGATATCATTTTGAATAGAGGAATGAACTTTTCTGTTTAGTTTGTAGGAAACAGTGACACACCCGGGTACTTACCATTTACATGGAAAAACCGGTAATTCCAGTTTGAAAAACAAATTGCTCGCGCTATTCCTTTTGGGAAGCTTCAGAAAATATGGGCTGTGATTAGTGGCGATGAAATTTTCCTGCTCTTTTTGGTCTGTTCAGCGGAATTGGATATACCTTGTAGTAGGACGTTCTCCCGCTACGTCAAATTCTATAGCTTTATATATGTTTATGCACAAGATTTCCACCCGAGTGGTTCGTGCAAATGGTAAGCACCCTTGCAATACTTCTTAGCCTACTCAGAGATTATATGAAAAGGACATGGTTGTTAACGTCTATTAAGGGGCTTCATTTACACTCATTCTTTGTTAATTTGCACAATTTTAACTAAAATTTGCTTTTGGCCTTTCGGGCCTCAGTTCGTCTAGAAATAAGGCGAAAGGGGATGGGAGGGAGGGGGGACCGGGCCCCTCCCCTGGATCCGCCACTGTTTAATGTATTCATAAACTGCCTTTGGTTGAGTTGTTGTGCCAGTTTTTCTTGATGTTGCTGTTTCCAATACTTTTATTGATAATGTTGTCAAATGGTCTTCAGAAAATTCTTACTGACCTAAACTCCTTCTTGACACCATTACAGTTCAAATTACTTTAGACTTGAAGGTTTTTCTGTTTGATGAGGTGAATGGGCAGGTTAGCGCACACGGCGGCCATTTCATCACTTAGGAACGAACGATCATCGAGAGTACCAACAAACGCATATTCATTTTCCTCTTGTGTCTCTACCTGGCTGCTATCCTGATTCGACTGCTGTAGGGAAGATAGAAAGACGTTTAAAGGTACTGTATCAGGGTTTTCATTTTGTTAAGAAATTGAGAATGACAACATCACAGCATTGTATAAAACAAATATGTCTCCCGAGTATCATCTCAAACGTAACAAAACAACAAAAAAGAAAACAGAAAAACTGCTAGATCAGCAACACGTTTTCAAAAATCACAATTGCCATCCGTTTCAATCTTCCTCAACAGTGTCCATCCGTGCCTCCTTTTGTATCAGTTCTGTATTATTTTTACTTTCTTTTCATGCGTTGAAATCTTCTCATGCCACGTCTCAAACACAATACCAGAGACTTGGTTAAGAATTTTCTAGAAACAGAGAGTAGTCCCCTTTCTGAATAAAAAGTGAAAAACTGATAGTACATGAGACTTTGACATGTTGATATCCGAAACTCAACTTTTTGAACAAAAAATCATATTTTTATTTCTCCTTTTCAGCGAGGGATAAAGACATATGCATCAGATGAAGTAACTGAATGACTTTTGGACTGAAATTAATTGTACTCACCCTTTCAAGCAGCCTCTTGAGGTCAGCCGGCTTTGGTAAATTATCAGTGGATTCGCTCAGAAAACAAGCTTTCTGAATTGACATTCGGTGCATGGTCATGTTCTATGCCAACAGACAAACTGGTTTTTAATAAAGCTTCAAAAAGTCAAAATAAATCAAATTCTTTTCAATATAACTGTAGGCCTGTCCCGATTGTGCTCGGTAACTTTTCAGCAACCTTTGGCGTTGGGAGCAACTTTTTGCGGTTCTAGGACCCTCGAGCAAGTTTTGCCTTTCTTAGTAACTTTTGAGCAAAATATTGGTTTAGGGCACATATTAATTAACACGAAAACGTTAACGATGTCATAAAAAAAACTTCAAGTTATGTGAATTTCTTGCAGAGTGCTTATCAATCTAAAGGTAAGAATAGGAGGGTAAAAAAATTAATGACATTTCGATCAATTATAGAAAAGAAGAATAAGGGCTCTCATAGTGAGCTTGGGTTACCTGTGGTTTCGCCCGTCTTTAAAGATAAGTTTCAAACTATTTTTTCTTGACCGATATTTAACAATCATCGTGAAGCAGCGGCAGTTTAAGATTAATATTTCAATTTCCTAACCCTCCCACTCCTCCCCTTTCACTCACCTGTTTGAGATCATAAATAACCTCGACCTCTCCAGGGACATCAGGGCTGGTGCCGCCATTGCTTGCGGTCTGAAAGGCTTCTGTTTCCTTTTTAGAGTCAATTTTAATAGTTTCGTCGAGATCTTTGTCTCCATCAATTTACATTTGTACCTCGATACCGTATCCTTCAAGGAAGAAGTAAATGAAAGTCTTATCAGTCGTAAGTTTCCGTTAGAGATTTGGCTTGTTCTGTGTTGCACTTTTGAATAACCTACATAGCCTTGCAAGAACTGGACACCAGTAGAAATCCAAAAAGCAACGTGTATATTTTCATGAAAATAGAAGAGATCTCCCCCTTACCTTTTTCTCGTCTGTTCCACATTTACAAACTGTTGCTCGTGGCGTGACAACAACAAAGACAGCAACTGAGTACAGAATGAAAGTCTTGAACTCCTGGTGAAGAAAAGGAAAACCCAAAATAAGGTCAATAAAGTTGCAAATTCACCACAGCTTAAGGGTACTAACTGCGGGTGCATATGAGGAAACTAAAATTGTCATAAATACAGAAGGTCATTCAGAGGAATCTTGTAAAACTTAAGTTACCATTTTAGCTAATTGCTCCTCTTTAGCAGTATCTGTTGTTCTTATCCTCCTTTTTTTTCACCACAAACTTCCCAACTGTTTGACTGAAGGTGAATGATCACTTTTATACTATCTGTTGGCCTGTTTCATGTGTCTGGTTCAAAACTTATTAGCCACATTCTTAAAGGAATATAGCGCTTCCCTAAGCACGTACATACCTTTTTAAGACGTGCGGGGACGCGCGTTCACCGCGGAATCCAGATGAATTTAGTATACGTAATAAAGTAATCATAGCTACATGAGCATTTGGAGGATCTCAATCGAACAAAATATGTACACAGATATAGTTAGACAAGTACTCTGACATTTCTCAAAAAAAATGTTTACTTTATAATTTAACAAACCCCAAAGGGTACTCCTGGGATTCTTAGTGGGGGTGTGTCGCCCGATTCTTCAAATCCTGACCCTGTTTCAGACTAAAAAATGTCACTTTTCTGCACCCGTCTTTAAACTTAGCCTCTAAAATCCATACGCTTTTCCAGAACTACCCTTTAAGAAATTATGTCATCATTAATTTGATTAGAACGCCAAGAAAAAGATTGGCTCTTTTCGACTAGCGTAATTTTTGGCATAGTTCGTCCGTTACAAGCTTAATTTTCATTTACTTTTTGCAAAAAAACATTGCTAGAATAATTTGCACCTTGGGCTAGTTTTGAAGCAGAAAAGTGTCATTTAACAAAAGTGTCATTTATTAATCATGCAACCAATTTTTTTTGGCCCGAGATCAGCGTTAAAGGGTCCCACAGGAAGTGATCTAAGATTCTTTTCACAGAACTCAACGCATGCTCATAACTAGCTCGGTTACTTAAGGTGACGACCGCGTGCTGATCGTTAATTGTTTGAGTTTTATAGTTGTCAGATGCCAGACAGTTTTGTTGTTTCAGTAGTTTATACCCTTTTACATTCATCTATCACTGCATATACTTATACTACATATACGAATTAAGCACGGCTCCCAAAGTTTCTAGATGTTATTATAGTAAATGAGTTTGCCATTTACTCGTTTGATGCATAGTTATTGACGTGATTTTACCAAAATTAAAGTGAAAAGAGAAAGCACAATTCAGCAATATTTTGCTCAAATGAGTATAATTTTGAAAAAAAAAATCGGGCAATTTTGTAAAATATGCTACTTTTACTAGCACAATCGATAAGGGCCTACAGAAACATACATGTATCTTAAATTCGAATTCACATTACTACTTTTTTTCTTATTCATTTGGAATTGAAACGGCACATACGTTCATACATTCCCGTTGTTCGCTCAAAAACCACACCCGATTCCAAACCAAAATGGGCAAATTCTATCAAAAACCATGAAGTGGCACATACCTATATGGCTTATACAATATACAAGGGAGTACCCCCCGGGGACCAAATAATAATAATTATAATATAATAGTAATAATTTATTATTTATAAAGCACAAAATAACATTTGAATATGATCTAATGCGCTAATATACTTGTTGCTATTGTTTCTTAATTTTGCTTTTGCTGTTCACCTTGGGTAGCATGAAGAATTTAATTTAAAAACATGAAATAGCATTTTTTATGTTTAGAAGTCAAAGTTACTGTATACGTTGTGGTTCAATTTTATCCTTGGTTTAAATATTATTTTCCTTTGTTTTTGGGTATGGTAATGTATGATAATCAGTTTGAAACAAAAGAAAATAAAATTTAAACCAAGGATAAAATTGAAGCACACCATATGTACACAACAATGCAATTTTTATGACCATCTAATTAATAAGGATTACAAATGATACCGTCTGTCTTTCTGAAGCTCGCCCAGTGGGTACAGCATAGGTGATCAATATTCCTGTTACTACTATGAATTTCCGGGTATGAATTCCCTTTTGTTTCTAGAACAACGTTCAATAGCAAATTTAGTGATACCTTACAGTGCTTTATTTAAATCAAGACACAGGGTTAACTGCTATAATTCTTATTTTAAACGGTAAAGAGGTCAGAAAAGGGTAATCACTGTAAATGAGTTTACAAACAGCTTGAGAATTGCTTATTGTGCTTATTAATCATAATTTGTAGTCTGATGAGAGGAAGAACAACTGGAGCTTAAAGATCAGGTTACAAGCCCACAGTTTTAGTGACAGGTGGAGTGTCTCAGAGCTGAAGCATCTAATTCGAATTAAAGTTCCCCAAAATAACTTAATTCAGCCTTTTTGCGCAAAAAAAGTAATTGCGGTTTTTTTGACAAACCGAAGAAATAACCGTCATGTACAGATTCGATTTGAAAAAAAAAAAAATTGCCTCAGACGGCCTCAATGAAACAAAAAGGACGCTAAGTTTATGTTACATCAGCACCCCCCCGTCCACTCTCCTTCCGCTGACGAGGCTGCATACACTTCCTTTCTGAAAATAATAAACGGTAACGATTCAAAAAGGTCTCAGAACCGAACGAAAACTATGCAATTTCAACATCACGTAAATGTGGTTCTTTTAAAAGAGTCCAGTCAAACTGATACCAAATAGCCCCCATAACCATTCCTAATCATGAAACACCACTTAGAAGATGTGCACATGAGACTTGATGTCTGGAGGCAATCTTCCACACTGTTACTTGCAATTAGTGAACTAAAAAGGTAGGCTATTCAAATGCTATTGTTAGCAAAGATTTCTGGGTATGTTGACTGTTATAAATCACATTGATCAAAACTAACAACACTAAAACGTCCAACTCGGATCAACTATAACCCCCCCCCCCCCCCAAGGTCGATGTTATCCAGCGTTCCAGTGGAATGAGTAAACAAGTGAATTCATTAAGCCAGGAAACGGGTGGAGGGGGTGTCTCAAATATCTCTCCCCAGCTTCTCTCAATTTTGTCCTTCTCTTCTTTCTTCTTGAAACAAGCCACGATGATCTGGTAAAGCTTCGATTACAAACGGCTACACGAATAGTTCCTGTCACATACCATGCAGCACGCACTTTCCCTGCTGCAGTGATTGCGCCAAAGGACTGAAACGAAACACAATTTCATAAATTTCTTGTCATCATATGCCGCGGTCTACACTGTTGTAATGTTCGATCGCTCTATTCGTGACCGCTAAGAAACTTTTAATGCTTACGTTACAATACGCTGAGCAATGTCCTAAGTCACGGGTATAAGCAGTCACAGTCACTCTGACTTTGTTCGGTCAAACACTTAACCTTCTTAATATGCTTCTTGTCGCGTCGCATGCTTGATCTCACTATAAGTATCTCTGTCATGCTATAAAGTTTAATTCTACAAATGAGCTATTCCCTTGTATCTCGCTTATGGGTGTGCACTTTAATTAATTTCTTTTCCATTTGCTGAGAAGGAACATGTGCTTTTTAATAACCAGCTTCCATCTTTTCAAAGGAAACCTTGTTATTTTCCCTCTTATTTTAGCAATTTTTAATTTCTGGTTAAGTCAGCCATTTCCTAGTATCTTTGCTTATTTAGCCCTTGGCTTATATTTAGCAGTATGAAGGATGCCGCTACACGAAAACTCAACGTCCTATCAGTACGTTGTTTGTCTCCTTCAGAAGTACTGCATAAAGAGATTTACCGACTGACTGATTGTTTTGTTTCGTGTAGCAGTGGTGGCTATATTAAGTATATTTTATTTTTGGTTTGCAAAGGTGGGGGGGGGGTTGCAAAAACATCACTTTATTCTTTAGCGTAAGATTAAATGGATATATTTCAACATTGAGTCTGGTTTTTCAACAACAGCAAATAAATGACGGAGTTCTAAATTATTTGCCAAGCGAATAATTTGGAACTCCATACACGCCATTTATTTGCTGTTGTTGAAAAACCGCACTCAATGTTGAAATATATCCATTTAATCTTACACTAAAAGAATAAAGTGTTGTTTTTGCAACAATATTTAGATTTAGATGTTTCAGCTCTTGACGCACGCTGTACGTACCACAATTGACCTTGCGACCTGGTCATAGCTCTAGTAGAGGTTCCTCCTTTCATCAAACTCTTTATTATATTTGAAGCCCAAATTAGATGTAATGTCGCGTGGTAGTTATGGCATCAATGATCAAACAGAGAATTAACCCTGTACTGAAATAATAATAGTTTTAAACATAACCAATGAAATCATCACTAAACAATTCCGGTGGGCATCGAAACAGCGCGAAATGTCCTAAAATGTTCCTTTTACGGTAGCATTGCTTAAAGCATATTAAAGAGAAGCGACTTTTTAAAAAAATTTAGCCATAAAAAAACTGCGTAAAAACTATTCTTAAATACATTTTAAGAACGTCGAAACGTCGTATATTTTTTAACTTTTTAAAAAGAGCCTTAAAATGTTTTTAAGAAAATTTTTTACGCAATTAGAAGCACATTATTAATTCACTTATCGCCATACTGGTTCTCCTACAGACCTTTTTATTGTTCTGTAACAAGCTTAAGAATTGAGAGACGTGATTCCTCCTCTCAATTGACAGCTATACAACAAGAATTGGGAGACTTTATTATGTGTGGTGATGAAAAGTGGTGAACTGCAGGTGCATACAACCACACTAGCTAAATTTCCTTCCAAGCATTGATTGCTTAAAAACTGTCTCTCAAACGATGAAAGATCACATGCTGTCATGAGTGCTTTGATCTATATAACGAGGGGCAACAGGAACTGGTTTGAGTCAAATTAATAGGGGAAGGGTGCACCAAAGGTTGTACTTATTAGCAAGGCTGCATATGTATACAACTATTCAGAAAACTTCATCAATGTGTGAACTAAAGAACTCTTAATAAATCATTTACTTTTGTTGTAGTAACTCTATTCTTCAGCTTTAATATTATTGTAATATTACGTTTAGTTTGTTTTATATAGTGTGTTTTCACATGACGTCATGGCGGCTGTATTTGTGTCCCAAAACAGTGAAACGGCGGCCATGTTTGGGTCCCAAACCAGTCCTGTGAGAGTTGAACTCTTTTCTTATGTAAACGCTTTCTTTTGTTCCAATAAATTTGCATAGATGCTGGCCACGTGAGTGAAAAAACAGAATAAATTATTGCTACCCTCGAATAGCCAAGTTGGGTAGCAAAGGTGCCATGGAAATACGTGAATTGAATGAATGCTTGTCTAGAACAAAGAAAACTTGATTACTACTCTTCAATCGAATAATAAGTATTTATAATTTCATAAAACAAAATCGCTAATAATACTCCTTCGTGCCAATTCATGGTTTTCGAGGTAAAAATCGTCGCACGTTTGGAACAATACGCGCTGAAGGAAGTGCGTGTTCCCGTTGAGAGCCTGGATATCACGATAAGAACCAGGAACATGAAACAGGCCAGCAGATGGTATAAAAATGGCTGATTTGCACTATCTTGCAATCAATTTCAAATTTGAAAGTCTGTGCATCAAGAGCAAGAAGAAAATAAGAGTTGTTTTCACAACAGGGGTTCTACAATAGTTAGTTACTGTATGTTGCTGTGCGTGCCATCTTATAAAAATGAACTACTTACTAGTACTAGTGGTACCATGTTATCAATTTAAACTGGGATGAAGGATTTGCAACATTAATTGATCCTATTTTTTTTGTTTTTCGTTTTCTTTCACCAGGAGTTCAAAGTTTTGTTCCTTTCCTTTGCTGTCTTTGTTGTCGTCGCTTCAGGAGCGACAGTTTATAAAAGCCGAGCAGATGAGAAAAAGGTAAGGTGGCAGGCCGATACATTATATGTACGTATTACTTTTCGAATTTCATTCCCGTGATGGTGTATCGGCGTTCAAAACCAATGATATTCTACAGCAGGCTAAGTTTTCTGCATTAGTCACCTGAAAAGCAAAGGAGTGACTTGTGCTAATTTTAAAATGTTGTTATGTAAAAATTCTTGCAAGGCCTCGTAGCGTTCCAAATAGGTGGAATGGTTAACACTCAGTGATTATGTTTGCTTACTTCTTTTACCTTGAACGATAAGGTTTCCGAGTATAAAGTTAAAGACAAGGATGGAGACAAAGATTTAGACGAAACTATAAAAATTGACACCAAAAAGGAAACAGAAACCTTTCACATCGCAAGTAATGGCGACACCAGCCCCGATGCCCCTGGACAGGTCGATGTTGTTTACGATTTCAAACAGGTGAGTTTGTAGGTCAGAAATTGAAATATGGCATATTTTATCTTAAATATAATTGCCTTCCTTTTGTTTCTTTCACATTCTCTCATTCCTTTTCTTTCGTCCTTCCTTCCTTCTTTTCTTCCTTCTTCTTTCCTTCCTTCTTTTCCTTCGCTCTGCGTCGTCTTTTCAGAATGGACTACTTTTACTGCTCTCTTTCTCTCTGATTTCGCGTATTAGTCTTGTTTATTGACAATGCACCCCTTGCCGTATTATAATATTTTTTAAATAGTTATAGCCAAGTACATATGTGACTGTTTTCCTTTTGTCTTTTGGTGTAGAAAATGGCAATGCACCGAATGTCCAATCAGAAAGCTTGTTTTCTGAGCGACTCTACTGACAATCTACCAAAACCAGCTGACCTCAAGAAATTACTTGAAACGGTAAGTACATTCTCAGAAGTTGTTTGTTTAGTACCTCTGAAGCTGACGACATTCACGTAATATAAGAGAAATAGAACACTTGCTGGGCTCTGGGGTTTTTTGGATTCATTAGTATTGATCAATACTACCAGTTTTACCATTGTTTCTTACATATCCTCCCTCTTGAATGAATGAGTGAATGAATGAATAAATGAATGAATAAATGAATGAATGAATGAATGAATGAATAAATGAATGAATGAATAAATGAATGAATGAATGAATGAATGAATGAATAAATGAATGAATGAATGAATGAATAAATGAATGAATGAATAAATGAATGAATGAATGAATGAATAAATGAATGAATGAATGAATGAATAAATGAATGAATGAATAAATGAATGAATGAATGAATGAATGAATAAATGAATGAATGAATGAATGAATGAATGAATAAATGAATGAATGAATGAATGAATGAATAAATGAATGAATAAATGAATGAATGAATGAATAAATGAATGAATAAATGAATGAATGAATGAATGAATAAATGAATGAATGAATGAATAAATGAATGAATGAATGAATAAATGAATGAATGAATGAATAAATGAATGAATGAATGAATGACTGAATGAATGAATGAATAAATGAATGAATGAATGAACGAAGGAAGGAAGGAAGGAAGGAAGGAATGAACTTTATTCACTGTCAATAAAGTTAATTCATTCATTCATGCAATTCTACATCTAACGATATTGGGACAGCTTATTAGATTTTGATCACATCGAAGGTCCTCTTTTTTGTTTATTTTGCATTTTCCGAGGGCTAATTGATTTGTGGATAGTATTTCAGCCTTTTGCAGCATCCGGTACTGTTTTGTAAGATTTTTCACAAAAGTGCAAAAACCTGACATTTTAGCTTTAAAAAATACTTTTAAATGTTAGCTAATATTGCGCAACATCTAACTTTTAGGTTATGGCATCGTTCATTTGGAGATTTATAATCACTTTTACTGCAAACTACTTATTTTTGTGCAGTGTGATTAACACTAAAGGTTAAGTAAAGGGGAAAAGTTGGTAACGTGCTACAAAATTACGCAACCCTTATTAGGGGGGCGACCATTTAACTTTTGAGGGGAGTGGGTGGGAAAGGGTGTTTTCAAAAATATATATATCTTGCAGACTGATTTGGAGAGGAAAAAATTCTTGCAAGGAAATACCTAGCTAATAAAAACTCCTACACTGGAAAACATATCTTGCATGGCGTATAATGTTGGAAAAAAAAAATCTTAATCCATTGTATGTCAGGAAAAAAATCTATCACTAGAAGTTTGGGAAAAAACAAATTCTTACACAAACCGAATTACCCATAGCCACCCCTCCCCCCACCCACTCAAATGTCAAATGGTCGGCCCCTTAGGAATAGACAAGGAGCCTTTGAAGAAAAGGGTTCCTTTTGGAGAATGAACTCATACTCTCGTATGAAGCATTCATCATTAATCGCGATCAGAGATTTGTCTCATACATTTTGGCGTTGACGGTAGACCATCCGTAAAGATTCGTAAAGAATTTTGCTTTTTTTGCCTTTAGCAATCGAACCAGGATAGCAGCCATGCAGAGACACAAGGGGAGACTGAATATGCCGTTGTTGGTACTGTCAATGACCGCTCGTTCCTGAGTGATGAAATGGCCGCCATGTGTGCTAAGTTGCCCATTTATCGCATCAGGCAGAGAAACCTCCCAGTTCAACGTAAGTTAAATAATGCTTCAATAAAAAAGATACATGTAGATAAAATTTTTAAGTCTGTCTTACAACAATTAACAGCAGGAGCAGTGGGAAAAACAAAAACAAAAGCTACCAACTAAAACGACCAGCTACTACCATAAACAAGACTCAGTCATTTTTTTTGAGTCGTTTTTAGTTCCCGCGCAGTTTATATAACTAGGTTAAAACCTGTGCGACTATCAGCATCACGGTCTAAACTAACATAATTTTTTTCGTTATTTTGCAGGAACAAAACGTGCCTGGTGTTTCCGAATTTGCTACAGGAGATGCTCGGGCAGGTTTTGTTGGAATATTTGTGTGGTGCGTTGTACTTAAGACTAATAAACAGCCTTTAAGCATGTTAGTGGCTAAGATTTGCTAAGGCATTGGGCGCTTTCCATTTACTCAAAATTTCCGGAATTTCCGGTTCGGCGGTAAATGGAACACGTTTCGTCGGTTCGTCCCACTGGAAAATTCCCAGAAAAAGTGGAAAATCTAAAAAGGTGGTCCCGTTTTCCCGGTTGGAATTTCCGAATGGAATCTCGTGTTCCATTTACGTTTCTCGTAGTTTGTAGGTCCACGGTCGGGCACCGCCACGTACCGGGGTTTACGACCAAATGGAACAACTTTTTACCAATCGGAAATTCCACTTTCGCTACCACCGAAATTTCCGGGTTTTTTCCCTAAATGGAAAGCGCCCATTGATTCATAGTGATTAGACAAATATTATCCAACAAAACCTTCAATCAGCTGGACATTTAAGATAACGGTATTGATTTTACAGCTGGAAAACTGGAGCAAAAAGGAAAAAGAATATTAGAAATGCACGCTACCTATTTTTTGTTTGTAAGCTTTTCGTTACAAATTTTGTCGGACAGGTGGACACGAAGTTAAAGAGCGCGTTAACAGAGCCGTTTTATGGAAATTCGATCGCGCAAATCTTTCTTTCTTTGCCGTTTTGCTTTCTCTTTGTGATACAGTAATGGCAAAGGCGAAGGTTGGTAAACGCAAGGCGAAAAAACTGCTAACAACGTAACAATCTAAAACGGCAAAATTATATTGATGAAGATAAGTGCTCAGAAAGCTAGGCGGTTTGCCATAGTGCTGATATCGTACAGAAAGCAGACAACTTTAGCGTTCTATCGACGTTGTCTTTCCATAAAAAAACATCGAACATGAAATCTAATTGAACCAGCTTTCCCTTTATATGATGCATAATTTTAGTTAACCTTTTTTAACTGACATAAACCACAAAAAAGCACGAAAAATAGGAAATAAAGCCACTTACAAGTTATAAACACCGCGTTTGGCTTCATTGTAACTTATCGTCTATTAAAGGGTTCCATATCAACCACCCCTTCAGTTCTTTTCAAATTCTAATTTGATGCGTGTGAGGAGGTAGCACCCGGTACCGGGCGCGGGGGAGCCGCAATTTTCATCTTAATTTTTTTGTGGGAGTTGATGAATACATCTACTTGATCTCACTTTGCTATATTCTGTTTCCACTGTACACATTCCCCAGCTTAAATTGTGTTTGCGAGTTTCATTAAGATGTTGTTATCGCGCCTCTATTAAAACCGGGAATTTTCTGAAGATAAAGCGTTTTCACATGACGTCACGGCGGCCATATTGGTGTTCCAAAACAATGAAACAGCCGTCATGTTGGTGTTCCAAACCAATCCTGTGGGAGTTGAACTCGTTTCTTACGTAAAAACTTTCTTTTGTTCCAATAAATTAGCATAGATGCTGGCCACGTGAGTGAAAACGCTCTATAAGCGAGAGTATGATATAAAGCTGTTTTCAGGTTACCAGTCAGTCCCAGACTTCGACACACTTTTCTCTAACCGAGGGGGACACTGGGGTTGACGGCATTGCGGTATTGAGCTTTCTTTCAAGCGGTATATTTCGGTAATTTTGATTTTAATGGGCGGTATTGCGGTATCATCCAGCCCTGCGGTATGCGGTTTTTTATCCTTCTGGCTAACAGTATTCCGTTAAAGAAGATCCTTCGCGGTATTGCGGTACCGTTCATTTGGCCTCTCCTCTCCGATGTAGGTCAATATTTGGAAGACTTTACGGCTAATCGTTCAACATTATTTAATTAAATAGCTTTCACCTGCTTTCGAAAGAATCATACTTCTGTTACTGTATTAAACAAGGATTGTTCTGAAGATAACCATACCGCGAAGATTTTTGAGGGTCAATATCAACTTAGAGTGTTATTTAATTCCTTCCACCACTCCTAGATAATCCTTCATACTGCTCTCAGTTCTGATCATAAAGAAAATGGAGTGCGTGTTCTTTAATCTTATCACGCGTACTTCCTGTCTGCTCAAGCAAACAACGTTTACCGAATTAAATTATGCTGGAAGGCGACACGCGAAATAAAATATAATTTGTTATTGCGACGCTGCTGATGGATCGTAGCCAAAGCATCATTTCCTACGGAAGGCCTGATAAACTTAACAGGTAACATGAGCCTGAGTATCAGGACTTCTGTGAAGGGGCCAACGGAGAGGGTATTTTTACCCTCTCCCTCTTTCTCTCCTCTCGTCCTCCTTTCCCTTAGAAACGCCTGATACTCAGCCTAAGGTAACACTGCTGCAAGAGATCATGGAACTTCTTCGAAGATGGCGTCGGACGAAGGAGAGGATAGGGGAGGGGGGGGGCGGATGGGGGGGGGGTTGAACGGGACATCCCGAACTTTTTACCGCATAACCTTTTTCTATGCGCAAGACAATTAAGGGGCTGTAAGGATGCTCAAAGTGTTTTTGCTGAACTGATAAAACTATGGTTCAATGAGTCCTTGCACCAGACCAAGTATTTCATTGTTTACGCAGTAACAGCGGCACAAATTCTGCTCACTAAGTTTACAGATGCGTGCTGTGTTATCTTGTACTAAATATTGCCATTAATATTCTAACTTCCGAGGGTGACTACTTTCGGAAGTTGCTGCGTGATCGACTTGCCCACAAGTCGAGCTCAACATTTTTTTCGAGCACAAAGCACGAGCTAGAAATTTTTTATGTTCTTAATCCTAGTACCCATTGACCACATGCCAGCCGAAATGAATTTGATCTTTCACTTAAGCACTGATACAGTAGAACCTCTATATAACAAAGTCTTGGGTGTAATAAACGATTTTCTTTTGCCCCAGTATAGTAAAATTTATTGAAAGAACCTCAATGTAACGAAACCTCATCAGTTACGACGAACAGATTTTACCAGTTCCTTTTTCCTTCGTTATTTCGAGGTTCCACTGTAATTACTGAAAATATAAGAAGTGTCTGTAATAAAATGAATCACAAAATTCCAGGCGTTCAGATGAGGAGAGGCGCGAAGTAAAAAGGAGAGCAAAAAATCCCTTTTTTCAGCCTTGTGTTTTTTTGCTCGCTCTATTTGTCCCCCGCGGTCAACCTTTTGAACGCCTGTAACGGGCTCCAAAACGCTTTTCTTATAACAAATTTCCTCACTCTCGGTCCTCTCCGAGTAGAGACTGTCAGGGGGAGAGGAGTGCAATGGGCTGCTCATTTCTCGAGAGTGCTACCCTGGCTCCAGAGATCCATTCTCAAAATACCTGGGATAAAATATTAAACCGTACTTGCAGCGGGAACTTTAGATAAGAAAAAGATAACCTCTGGAAAGCAGGGTAGAACATTGCCAGCTGGTTATCAAAATCTTGTTTGTAATTTCTTTTATTTGTCATAGCATTAGGTTTTATTTAGTTTTGTTTTTTTTTTCTGCAGAAGTTCAGATAGACGTACAGTTTTTGGTGGTCGTGTAGATATTTTACTCACCGACCCGCCCCGCACTCGTCTCTATGAGGTGCCAGGGAGGTAAATTTTGCTTCCTGTTTCTATCTTTACCGTTATTTCTTGTTGATTTTTGAAAATCCATTTCTATCACCGTGCCCTCGTGACTGTGTCGTCGTTGTATTGGCGGGGGAATAATCTTTCTTCATGTAAGTGTTCCCTACCTCAGGGAAACAATTTTCCGTCTGCGACGCGACTGAACATGATACAAGAGGTGGCTTTCCAAACAGCTTTGATCTTGATCTTTGACATGCATAATGAGAAAAATGATTATAAATAAAAACATCTCCTGGCACATTACCCAAATACGTGACCTCGGCAGTATATAACGAGATAACGACCTATTGTGACGAAGCGAAATACAACCGTCTTTACCATCGAAGTAGACGAACATGGCAGCTCATAACCAGCGTATGCCTTCTTTTGTAAGCATTTTTTCTGTTGTGTCTTTTGTGTTTTACTGTGCCGGGTTTTTGAGAGTTGAACTGGAGTTACATGAGCAGAAGAAAAGGATCAACGCTCTTGAAAACAACGCAGCGTCAAAGCCGCAGCCATCACTGGAAGCAAAACTTGTGAAGGCACAGCATTCGCTTTCTGGTAAGTTGTTCCCTCTTTGGGAATTTATGTTAACGAAGGGCGACAAAGAACACAAATCTAGGATTATCAAAAAAGGGTGGTGATGTAAATGCTTTTACGTGTTGGAGTTGAGTTTTGACTCAGCTCGCTGTGGCCTCGATTTCCCATCGTTTATTTGGTCGAAGTACTTGCCTTTTTAAGAGCTATCAGTTCAAATCATTGCCCACCGTACCTAGGCATTAACCGGCACCAACTTTGGTTTCAGATCGTCAATTCTCAAGAACAGTTAAAAATACTTAATTAGTGTTCATTTAACTAAATTTGACTCTATTCTGGTCTCTTAAATTACACTGATTTCTTTTATCATAAGTATATTATACACAGAATTCTTTGCGGCTTGGTGCATATTTTTGTGAAGTTTCTTTATGGGGTACTTTGCATCTGTAAAGCAGGGCACATAAATATGATCATCATCGGCAAATATTTTCCCAGTACAATATTTCTTAGGGGTTACTTTCTCACAGCATAACGCGATTTTCTCGAACTCAAGAACCTTAATTTCGCAAAATTGTCAACTTTAATGCAACACTTCACTTCGTTCCTCTTTGAAACTACTCCTTGTTATTTTGGGCGGAACTTTTCAGATTGTTACTGTTAGCTTTATGATCAGTTCCTGGTACTACACCTTTTGCTGTTCATTACGAGAAAATACGCATACATTTGCGTGAAATGGCGACCAACAGCGCGAAGAGACATTCATTAGCGCGAGAAAGAGAACATTTGCGCATAAATCAGATTCAATAACGATTTTTGCATTTTAATCAACATTCAATACACTCTAAATCAGAAAGATCTGTTTTAGCCCTAAAAATAGGGGAGCTTCGGAGAGTAAAATACAGTCCTATTTTTACGCGGGATGACGTAGTCAGCCAGCGTCTAAAATTCGGTAGCGCATTCCTTTCGTCGTCTTGGGAGTCAAAAATTGCCTTGTTTTTTTAACTTTCCCGTGTCCCGAGCCCGTCCCGAAAAATTGTGTGGATTTTTATTGGCCGCAACGTCGAAGCACGTGCAAGTCAGGCTGGATTGCACAAGCCGAAAAAAGATACTGCGTCAGCAAAGGAGGGAAAAGTCAGTTCACTGTGTAGAGGAGGACGAAGACGCAAGGCGGTGCTCTTAATACGGCGCAAGACTTGGCCTCGGGCGACTGAAAATATTGTCTAGGTGGCCCAGCCGGGCGACTTGCTGGTGTTGGTTTCTTGTTTCTGTTGAGTTACAGTAAAAAAGCTAAGAATGTCTAGAATTTATTACTTGCGAAATCGTAGCTCGCTCGGTGGCTTCGCGGCCTAAAAAGAACGCTTCGCTCGCTAAGAAACTCTTGAGGTCGACTTGTAAGTAGCAAAAAGTAGCATGTATATCAAAAAGCTTTAGGAAAATGTTGTAAATCGGGCAGCGGGCACGCGTTGATGTTCAAAGGTGGTTTCACGTGAATTCACATGTAACATAATCCTTGACTATGAACGTGACAAGCTGCACAGTTTTCGATAGTAACAGCTTTTCATAATAACATTGAAATTTTTTCTTTAAATTGGGATTGTTCATTAGTGAGTTTCGCAAAACAAATTGTTGCTTTTGCTCTGACAGGCGTGAAGTACGGTGGGCGACGCAAAACAATAGTTTTGTATTTTGAAAATTCGCTGAATAAACAAGGGAGTCGGTCTTTTATGTTCTTTAAATATTTTTACCTTCTTTTACTGCTGTGTCTGCGAGGCTAAAACATAACTAAGATTGTTATTCCAGTAAAATACGATGCATAAAAAAGAAGAGAGACGACTATTATTATTGTGATTGTTCTAGAATCGTGTATAAATCCCTCATTGTCTTTCGTGTCGTGACAAGTCATGTAATACGTATCACGTACTAAAAATAAATACGCAAAAGCTAACCGAATCTACATTTGTCCTGAACATTTCACCGGTAATATAGAAAGAAAATACTTCCGTTTTGCGCTTAAACGACGACTTTACAACAAGATGATCTATTCAAAAGAGAAAATAGTTTTGGGGGGGCCCGGGCGAGGGAGGGGGGGGGGCACTTCCTTATAAAGAGGCTAATGGGGATGTGCCGCTGGATGGGGTCGCATTTTCACGACTAGATTGATTATTAATAGAGTTGCATTTTCAAAAGAGTTACTAGAATGGGGTCGCACATTTTCGGATTTTTGGGAGACCTGTTCATACTTACGGTTAGCAAACGTACCAGGATATTTGTACTGTCGGTGAAAAAAAAAAAGTTCTTCATTCAATTTATTAAAAAAAATGGGTCAATTCATTTTTTGATGACCTATTTAAAGGATTGATAAGGTAGATACATAAATAGAAAGTGACAAAGTTGAGATCGCAAAAATTACATATTTGCCCAAGAGTGACTAATATGGGGTCTACAATTGGCCACAGAAGAGAAATGGGGTAGGGGCTCTGAGAGGCCAGCGGCACATACCCAGCAAAAGTTAACGCAAGTACCCCCCCCCCCCCGGGGCGCCGCGGTTTCGTTGAAATCATAACAGTTTTCCTGGAAAGCTCCACGGGATCTCAGTCAATCTTAATAAGCGAATTTTCTTTTCAACCTAAATCAAAATGATTAGAAAAAGAATTGTGCCCTTATTTTTGACCCCAAATTTACTTTTCCATTTAAAAAAACATGAAATGTTCGGCGGCGTCGTCCATACTTCTCATATGGCGCGAAAACTTACTTTCATATGACAGCATGCGGGTTTTTTTTCGCACGCTCAGGATGTCAAAGGGATGTGATGTTTCATGAAAAAAATATTCACAAAATTCTGCTTGAGTTGTTAAGAAAATAATATTTATGTAATTTTTAATAATTAACTAACAGCTCATCGATTTATTAATTTGGGCAACCGACTTGGAAGCCGGGCACCCCAGCTAAAAATGCTTGGGGAACCAGCCCAAAGGGCTCCCTGAAATTTTCCCTAGACCACTTCCTTGCAGCCCTGTAGTTATTGAAAGTATGATACATTACATGCTATTGTTAAATGTGGAAGTGCATTTTTTAAGGACATTAGTAAAGGAATGCAAATTTTAGTGAACTATCCCATACTCCTAACATATATGGTGGTAATATTGATGTAAGTTTTGTTTTGAGTAGCAAAGGAACCCTTGTGTGTAACTCATCTTCTAGTGTATTAGTCCTTAACAGAACATCGCCGTCTCTCCTGCACACATTTCTGACATTTGTTGCATACACTACTCAACTTTCCATTGCCATCTAACATAATTCTTTCTTAAACCCACACATCCCGCGTAAACGCCTTCGGGCGTCTTCTTGTTTGAGTCTAATTTGGCTCCCTTAAATCAGGGCGAATACAGTCCAATTAGCTAGGGCTGATTTGGTCCCAGGGATGAAATGGGCCTACCGTGGGCTGGAATAGCCTTTTGAAAGGGCTTTTTTGGCCTAAATTGTGCTCAAATGGCTCCAGGAAGGGCTGAATCAGACTTTGGCCTGCAGGGCTGAATTGACACCTTGGGGCTGAAACAGATCTTTTCAATTTTCAGTTTTCACTAAGTGTCTAATTGCACCCATTACAACAAAGACAATCCAAACCAATATTTTATTTCATCTAAAAAAAACAGTGAACTATGCATGTGAAACTTGATAGCACGTCAGGTTGTAATACAGCAAAGACGCACAGATAAGAACCAACACTCTTTAGGCTAATATTTTGAAAGAACCTGATGAAGTAAAAATGTTGAAAGAGATTCTACAGAGTTCTTAAAGTCAAATCAAGAGTTTCTGCTGGCTTAAATTGAAGTCATTTAGACATAACAACATGCAAATTTTGTACAAACATTAAATACTACTGATATTCTTCCAAACAAATCTATTTGCCTAATTTGAAAAACGAAGCAGCCTAATTTCCAAGAAACACAAAGTTTATAAGAGCCTTTTCAGGCTCACTTTGGAAAAAAAAAACACAGCTACTTAGTTTTTACTGTATACTACTAAATGCAAGAGCAGGGGAGGGGGAGGAAGAGTTAGGGTTAGGGAGAGAGTTAGGGTTAAAACAGATTAGAAATATATTTTGAGCTTTCATAATACTGACTCACCCTAGTGTATTGCAAGAACTAGTTTTTATCATTTATACAAGAGGGGGAGGGTCATGATAAGGTCAAGGGGAGGGTTAGCAAATTTCACTCCCATTGCAGGGATGGGTCACCTCATTTCCGAACCCAAATTTAAAATTTACAACCCCCCCCCCTGCTAATTTCTGACAAGTCCCTTATTTTATTCCATGTTTCAGCACTTTTTGCCGTTTCAATATGTAACAATGGCAGTATTTCGAGCGTTTTGATATTTTCTTTACCTGCTGACCATAGCTTACAGCGAAACAGGGAAGAAAAAGCATGACGAGGACTTAAAACAATCATGACGGGATCGGCCTATTTTCAAGAAAAAGGTTGTCAACTATGTGAGTTTTCTAATTTCTTCCTGTTCGAACGAGCCAAAATGATTATTAGTGTTTTGGTAACATGGATGACAGTAGACTGCAATTTGGCTGTCACAAATTTATTATCCTTCTAGTTGTGCGCTACAGATCAATTCAAAAACGACCGATTTTTGGTTCGCTTGCAGACACTGAGTTTAGGTCAGGAAAAATAAGAAAGTTTTAGTCTTGCCCGTAGCTACCTAACAACGTTTATGGTTTTCGAAGATAGTCTTGTGTTGGGTTGTGTCGCACACAAAAAATGAACTTCGCTCGTTTAATTTTGAGGAGTTTGTGAGCTTCAGAAAATGGTCAAAATTTGCTTACAAAAATGGCGTCCGAGGGGGTCAAGTGATGCTCGTATCTATAATACAAGAACAGTGAAGAACCTATGTTTATTATATTTGTCCATTACTCCACCTAACCCATCTATGATGTTAGTATGAGCTTATTCTGTTAACCCACTTCCGTTGACATTTTTAACATTTTGCCCGGTTTTCTCAGACAACCACTCTTAATTCACCTAAGATGAAAACATACATCAGAATAAAAGTTTGTAATATAAAGCAAAAGTCCCAGATTAAATATTTGGGTGTCTTTACTGATGAACATCTAAAATGGGATGCTCAGCTCCAGCACATTAACAACATAATAACAAAAAACATTGAAATTTTATTTAAGCTTAGACATTATGTACCTAAGAGCATTTACGTTTACCATATTACAAGCAGTCCCTCTCTACAAGGCTTATATGCTCGGATTCGGTCAGGTTCGTAAAGGTTTTTAATGTTTCATCTCACAGACCCTACTCTTAAAAACATTATGACTTGGGGCTGTGGCTAGTGTGGCGGGCAAACTGTTCCACTGCTTTATAGTTCTAGGTAAAAAGCTGTATTGAAGATAGGTGTTCTTTTCGTAGGGAATTCTAAAGGATTTGGCGTGACTATTTCTAGAGTGTCTCATAAGTGGTATAAGTTCTTTAGAAAGATCAACTACGACTAGGTTATTTACAGTTTTGTATAAAATAATTAATCTTTGGTCTGCTCTTCGCTGCTTGAGACTGCGCCAGCCAAGCTCATCAAGCATGGCAGTGACACTTGCTTCGCCTCTGTAGTTGTTGCAAACAAAGCGGGCAGCTCTTCTCTGTACAATGTCAATTTTATTTTGGTTCTTTTGGGTGAAAGGATCCCATATAGTAGACGCATACTCAATTTCTGGTCGAACAAGAGTCTTGTATGCATTAGCTTTGATGTGTTTCTGGTCAATTTGTAGGTTTCGTCTGAGAAAACTTATGGATGAATTAGCTTTCTTAAATATAAAGCATATATGTTCGTTCCAAGACAGCTTATGGTGTACAGTGACGCCAAGATATTTAACTGCATCTTTTTCCTTAAGGATCTGGTTGTGTAGGATGTAATCAAGGGTGAGGGGGTTCGTCAACCGTGTGACTCGTAGCACATTACACTTGTCCGGGTGGAAAGACATTTCCCATTCTTCAAGAAGTTTGAGAACTTTTTTGTAAGATGGCAGCATCGGTTTCGTCGGTCACAGTCATATACACAATAGTGCCGTCTGAAAATAGTTGTACTTTGGACTGTAATTTAGCTGGGAGATCATTTATATATACTAAAAATAGTATGGGTCCAATCACAGATGCTTGAGGTATGCCGCTTGCTACAGGAACCCATGAGGACATTTCCCCTTCGCATACTACTCTTTTTTGTCGTTGATGAGAGAAACCCTTTATCCATTGATTGATAGAACTATTTATACCATATTCTCTGAGTTTGCGTATTAACTTCTTGTGGGATACCTTATGAAAGACCTTCGCAAAGTCCATAACTATAACATCTGTTTGCTTATTGTTGCGGAGGTTCTTGTATAGATCTTGGACAAATGTAAGGAGCTGGGTTCCGGTTGTTAACGCTTTGCTCTAAATCCATGTTGTAGCTTGTATAGTATGCTGTTACATTCCAGGTGTTTCATTATGTGTTTTGTTACTGTGTGTTCCATTATCTTCGATGCAATACAAGTAAGTGAAATGGGACGATAGTTTTCCGCATTGTAACGTTCGCCTTTCTTAAAGATAGGAGCAACATTTACCTTCCTCCAGTCTTCGGGCACCTCACCAGAGTGTAGTGATTTGTTAAAGATGACTGTAAGTATCGGGGAAACAGCTGTGGCAAGCTGTTTCAACACCCTCGGATGAATTTGATGGGGTCCCATAGATTTATTTGGATTGAGGTTTTCGAGAAGTTTTTGTACACCATCTGATGTAATACGTAGTTCAACAATATCAGGGTATGGCCTACCTGTTTCGGTGACAGGAGGTTCCAGTTCATCAGGTGTTGGATCTGAGTCCTTGGGTTTGTCTCATAACGTTCCTTTGTATTTCAGTGGGGTGACGCCGACTGAGTCTTTTTTTCTGTGTTTGATGAAGGACCGCAGTTTTTTATTGCCTCTATTTGGCTCATCTGATGTTTCAGGGAGGATGCTGGTTTCCACATAATTCCAATAGGCAGCTCTAGTTTTCCTTCTTATCTTGTGTTTTAGACTTTAAATTTAAATAGTTAGTATTACTCATATATACCCTTCCTTTTCAATGTGATTAATTTAGCCAGAACTCCATTAAATAGTTTTTTATAAGTACTTTCTAAACTCCACCCACTTGCAATCTCTCTGAGGTAGTAGCCAACTCGAAAGCTTGGCTCCTTTGGCTGCTACGCACTTTTTTCCTTTGTTATGTTTAAGTTAATGTATATAGTTAGCTCTGTTTTTACTTCTTTTGTTTTTTCTTATGGTTGTTGTATTGTAATTGAATAAGTGTGAATAAATGAACTTGAACTTGAACTTGAACTTGAATATTGAATCAGTTTGTAGCGGAGTCTAGTATGTTATCAGCTTGTTTCAAGTGCAATATATTATTTTTTCCTAATTAAATTTCTTTGAGCTCTTTATCCTTGGGGATTTATAACTTTGTTTGCTTTCTAACAAGGAAAATCTCCCGGTTTATATTCTCTCTTTTCATTAGTATGGCTGTGATTATCTATTGTTCTTTGTTCGACGAGTTTCATAAGTAATGAAAAAGCGTTAATTAACTACTCTACTTAAGAAAAATTGTAGATAGAGAACCAGCGGAAATGTACTCTAGTCAGTACGGAAATCGTCCTCACTGAGAAAGGTGTCTTTTAAGACTTTTTAAAAACAGGTTTAGGACACACATAAAGATAAATGCTTTGAATTTATGTTTCACGGCCGGTTCACCTAAACCATGTTCCTCGATTATTAACCCTGACGCCGTCAATCATCATATTTAGTCTAGTAACTAGCTCCCACTCAATTAGTTAATCAATATGTTCTATTTATCATGAAGATGTTGAAGATAAAGACACTAACGGTTGTTTTGCTTGATTTCAGGGCTTCAGTCCCTTGAACTCCACAGAAACAGGCGTCAGGTTAATTCAGAGAATGGCACCCATAAAATCAACAAACTTTTATCGGAGCTAAGACCGCACATCTGTCAATCAAAGGGTGTCACGTGTTCACCAGGTCGAACTGGCCCTCCAGGTCCACCTGGACCGAGGGGAGAGAAAGGAACCCGGGGACGAAGAGGACACGGAGGGAAACCTGGAAACAAAGGAGATCAAGGAGTTATGGGATCACCAGGAAAGAGTGGCAAGCAAGGCATCATGGGACCTTTTGGGCCGCCTGGTGTAGCTGGTCTTAAAGGACAAAAAGGAGACATGGGGCACGCGGGCATGCCGGGATCTAAAGGAGAGCCTGGTGAATCGATTTCAGTTCCTACTGCCATTGTGTCTCCTGCAAAGTTGACTGCGAACGAGAGCGAATCAGCGTCGTTTCAGTGTTCAGTTACTGGGAATCCTAAACCTACAGTAATCTGGAGAAAACTGGACAGCCAGTCAGCAGTTTCTGGAGGAATTTTACATTTACGGAACATAAAAGGAAGTGATGCGGGTGTGTACAATTGTTCAGCGGTAAACATCTTGGGACAGGCGCACGCAGTAGGACAACTAGAAGTAAATGGTGAGTTTATCGACTTCACTGATATTTCCGTAAGCGTAAATGTGCCGATTTTGTGATTGTACATAGCAAGAACAAATGTCGATCTGTCCCCCGCTTTTAGTCAGAGCGGCAAAACAAAAAAGTCTCCCAAAGAATTAACAGAAGGTTAACGGTGTGCCATTATGCTAAAAACCACCTTTTTTGTTTTACAGTTCGTCCCGCTATATCTCTTAATGCAGGACCTTTTCACGTCCTGGAGGGAAGCGATGTCACTCTTCCCGTGTGCCATGTTACTGGTCATCCGCCACCAGTGGTCACGTGGAGCAAGTCATTTGGTCAGCTACCGCAGGGGAGGGTACGGGGTAATAACAGTGTCATCAAACTACTTAGTGTCCGTAAAGCTGATTCTGATAACTACCTCTGCACTGCGACTAACTTGCTAGGAACTGTTGTAAAAAGAACTCACATAGTTGTGGTCTCCTTGCCTCGGTTTATTACTAAGCCACCAAATAAGGTTGTTAAACATCCAAATTTACGTTTGACACTGAATTGCAGCGCTAGTAGTAATCCGCTACCTGTCATCAGCTGGCGAAAACAAGGAGCACAGCTTCCATCCGAGCGGAGCCAGCAGACTAAAGGAGTTCTGGTGATAAGAAATTTAAGAACTGGAGACGCGGGGAATTACATTTGTACTGCAACAAGTGCTGGAGTGTTCAACTTGGAAGCTGTGACTTTTGTTGAGGTTCAACCTAGAGGTGAGTTATTGATAATCACCGTGCACTGTGCAAAAACGTATGTTAGCAGGTGAGCCTAGTGACATGGAATCGAATACTTTTACCCTAACCATGTATGGCTGTTTTTTCTTCCAGAGACCTAGGAGTGGTTAGGGGAGGGAAGGGGGGGGGGGACGGATGGGGATTTTCCATGATATGGCTATCAAAGTTACACAGAGTAAAGTCCTCACCATTTCCAACTGATCTAGTTACACCTGGATTAACACAATGAAGTAATTGGCGTAATTATTAAGTCATTATTGATTTTTTTGACTGAACTAAAATTTCATCAGTTTTTTCTTGTTGTTCTTATGGCATTGGGATCAAACTCTGAACAACAAAAATAGGGGCTTAATGTAAACCTGGAGCTGGTTGTTTAAAAACTGGATAGCGCTATCCACTCGGATAAATCGCTATCCATTGGATAATAATTTACCGGGAAGTCAATTGTGCTATCCAGTGGATAATGGTTTATCCGATGAATAGTGCTATCCACCATTTGAATAACTAGGGCCACGCCCCGGTTGTTCAAACGTTGGATAGCAAATCGCTATTAGTATTAGGAAACACCAATTGCGTTTTGGGAAACCAATTGAGCTATCCACTGGATAGATTTTTATCCCGTGTATAGCGCTATCCAACGTTTGAACAACCAGGGCGAGGTCACTAATTAGTAGTATTAATGTTAGTTCGTTTAGCAAATGGAGGAGCTTCGTATGGCCGTGTTGAAGTATACTACAGTGGAACCTGGGGTACAGTGTGCGATGATTACTGGGATATCAAAGATGCTAATGTTGTTTGTCGTGAGTTGGGTTTCTCCAGAGCAACATCGGCTCCCGGAAAAGCACGATATGGTCAAGGTACTGGCAATATTTGGATGGATGATGTCTCATGTAATGGAAGAGAAGCTTCACTGTTCAACTGTTCGCATAGAAGATTAGTAAATAATATTGGCTGTTGCCATAGCGAAGATGCAAGTGTCGTTTGTGCGTAAATTGGAGGCAAGAAATGCTGCCACAAATGCGGATTACGTGCATTTCACATTACATTGAAGGCTAGACCTTTTTTCGGTTTTGGTGAATGACGCACAAAAACATTTGTAAAGATATCCTCGTCAATTAAGTGAAGCAAATATTTTGCAGTTATTGAATTAGGCTGAGTAGGATGTGAAGAATTATGCAGATCTCGGCAGATAATTTCCACCGAGGCTGAAGGCCCAGGTTCTTAACAAGCTTACCTCTCGTATTCTAAACTTTGCCCTATTTTGCAGCACAGTTTCAAGATATAATCACAAGTTTTTTTCTTGTAGATACTCCTCAAAAAGTAGAGAATTTCAATCTAGCAATATGTTTTACATATTCTTGCTGTCCTTCCGTTCAGTTTCAGTCAGAAATTCAGCTATTCCGCGTGAGCACCATTTTCTTTTATTCTCTCGTGAATAAACAGCTGGGCCGCCACGCCTGGAGATTAGGTTGATAGAAGGTCTATTTCGCATCTTCTAAATTTCGTCAACGCCAGTTAACGTTGGTTATGAAGAATTAATTTAGCCGGGAGCTTTGACCTAATCAGAAAAGATGAAATATATTTTGAATGAATAATAAAGAAACATATGGAACAATGTCAGTTTTCATTTTTGCCGGGTACAATTTGTATGCTTTAATTGACTGGGAAAACCATTTCCAAATGGTTTTGATTTCGAAAGTTGTTTCATAGAGGGGACAATAATGATTAGAGAAAAAGCCTCTCAACAACAGCAAACAAATTATTTCTCTTACCCCCCTCCCCCTCAAAAAATATAGATAGTCAATGATGAAGATTGTGCAGTGTACTTCACCAAGAGACTATAAAGGGGACAGAGAGGGCATCACCCATATACACCCTATTCCATAGGTAATTCGTCTCCAGTTATTTTTAACACCACAGATCTCAAGGGGGATTAAACAACAGCCAATCACATAGCGCGAATGTGTTCCGCGTGGATGACTCACTCTGAGAGCCACGCGTCCTTCACGAAATGACGCAGAACATGGGGGAAGACGCGGAGAGCGATTTTGCTATTCCTTTTGTCGACGAAAACGACTACAGCAAGATTTCTGCGAAAGCTGTGTCAGCGAAAGCGAAATTAAAAAAGAATCGCCCTTCCTCTCTTGTATAGAGCTAACAGTAGAGTAGGGAAATCCTTAACACACTGAATATTCTCTCAGGATCATTTATAATTTACAGTTTGAAGAGA